TTTCGGTAACCGATTATAATGACAATTTTCCTTATTCCATAGTTCATTTAGGCACTCAATGAGATATTGAATCACTGTATTAGATCCTTGGTTTCCTTAAAATCTGTTAATAAATTGTTTTAATATGGCCGCTAGCTGATATTATTATCATATCATACAATTGCATCATTTTATTGTATCCTATAGAAGATTCACGATACTTATCCCCAGTAAAATAACACGGTTATAAGATATAATGTATCCAGATTTCTTGAAGGGGTATTCACTAAGAAAGGTTAACTTCAACTAGAGTTACATAAAATTTAATATTACAATGTATTTGAATTTAAGGTAACAATAATGAATAACAATAAGGGGAGCGGGGTGGCCTAACGGGAATGGGCTAATAGTTGTCACCGCGAGTTGCTCGACAACTAGATAACCGAAATTATGAGCTTTAAAAAAAAGTACGGAAGTTTTAAATTTCCATTTTAAATTTTTAATTTCCCGCCTTCACCCCTCCCCCCTCCCGGCTCAGGAAAACCCCTTATAGCCTAAAAGGCGAGGTAGGGCACAAAAATAAAAAATAAATATATAAATAAAAAGAATACCTATAAGTCTTATTGTTAGCGAATCTGAAGTTTAGATACCAGTACCACTATTATGGGTTACATGTTTTCATAACACTTATCTTGAAGCAAGTAGCAGTGCTTACATAAAATTAATTAAATTGTCTTTCATCAAAAACTGACATAAATTCTTAATTTAAAAACATCTTCACAATATGTCTTTTCTTACTTAATTTCATGAAAAAAACAAGTTTTGTAGAAATATTTTAGCTCAATAAAATTAGTTACATGAATTTAATTTATGAAGATTAATGCTCAACTAGTAGATGTTAACTACTCAGATAAAGGAGCATTGTTAAAAATAAAAAGGTTAAAAAAAAAAACCCTTGAAATGATCAGATAATATTGGAGAGCGGGCACTGAAGAGTGGTACAGACTATGGCTATATTGTCCTGTCTTCAACAGGAGCCTAACTTCTCAAACAACTTCCTTATCAGTGGATGTAGAAGGTTCAGCCTTCGTCCAAGCCCTCAGTTTATTAAAGAAACATTGTCTTGTAACCTAGGCAGGAAAATTCAGGAAGTTTTATGGTTAACATAGTTTAATGCAAGCCTTTTAAACCAGCAAATATGGACAGATAATTTCGAGTATATACAGAAGAAGTATTTAAAGTAAAAAAAAACTTTTCCGAAAAAAATTGTATTCCAAGATATAAAATTTGTTAATAATATTTTCCTTTAAAAACAATTTTTGTATTATTTTTTTCGCGATGAAATTATCTCAATTATATTACTCGGATACAGTTCACGCAATTCGGCGTTGTGTGACCGTCTGAACTCCCCGGTTAACTCATCCTTCTTCGGTCCGAATATTCTACGCAATACTTTATTTTCAAAAACCTTAAGACGCTGCTCATCCCTTAATGCAAGCGACCAAGTTTCGCATCCATAAAGAACTGTAGGCAAGATAATTGTTTTAATAGATTCTAATTTTTAAGTTCCGGGACAAGAGGCGCGAACTAAGTAGTTTTGCCACAGAAAAATAAAAAGCATTTCCCGCCTTCAGTCTAACCTTGATCTCTTCTTCAATTTCGTTTTTTCTAGTTATGGTAGAACCTAGATACCTAAATTTATCTATCTGTTCAAACATATTACCATCTATATCGATATCACCAGTAGTATCGCCATTTTTGCAGCTAACCGTATATTTTGTTTTATCCACGTTTATTTCGAGTCCTAGTTCTTTACCGGCTTTCATTAACGTTGTTATGATTTATTAACAAATAGGGACATTGTTAGTTTTATAGTTGCAACGTCTTCGCTTAACAGTAACAGATCATCAGCATAACCGAGCACGGATGTTGTCCTACCCAGATCCAACCCTTTCTCGGTACGCATTACCTCCCTAATGCCAAATTGAACAGGACAGGTGAAAGGAAATCCCCCTGTTTTAAACACGAACGAACCTCAAATTTTTTGGACAGATTAATAGCGATTCTAACTTTATTGAGTGTCTCCGTCAAGCACATCCTGACTAGATTTACTAATTTTTTTGGAATCCCCTGTTCGATTAGAATATTATACAGTTTTTGGCGGTCAATAGAATTGTACGCCTTTTTAAAATCTATGCTGGTGAACAATACCGTTATACTCCATTTTTTTCTCTAATATTTGCCGTAAAGAAAATATTTGATCAATAGTCGAACGATTCCGTCTAAATCCGCATTGGTAGTCTCCGATAATTTCCTCGGCGTATTCCGTGGTTCGACTGGTTAAGATTAATGTGAATATTTTATAACATACCGAAAGGAGTGAAATTCCTCGATAGTTATTACAATCTGTCTTCGGGCCCTTTTTGTGAATCAGAATAAGAATAGATTCTTTCCATTCTTCAGGTAATTTCTCATTCACCCAGATCTCTTTAAATAACCGATGTACTTTAGAAACTCCAGCTTCACCGCATGCCTTAATTAGTTCAGTAGGAATATTATCGGTTCCCGCTGCTTTATAAGATTTTAATTTTCCGATAGCTACTTCAACTTCCTCTTTACTTGGTCCTTCTATTAACGGTTCAGCACTATGATACTCAGAAGGAGGACACAGATCATAATTTCCCGTATTTAAAATATTGTCAAAGTGGTCCTTAAACTTATTCAATATGTCAACCGGATCGGTCAGAATATTGTTATTGTCATCCCTAATTCCAGACGTTACGGGCCCTACATATTTACGTGATCTGTTTATACCTTTGTACATGTCTCTTACGTTATTTTCGATTCTATTAGTTTCTATTTCAATTATTTTATTTTTAAGATACTCCCTTTTTTTATTTTTGAGCAATTTTGTCGTTTCGTTCTTTGAGATTCGGAAGTATTCCAGATTGTCTTCGCTAGGATTATTTAGAGCTTTTAATTTAGCGGCTTTTCTTTTTTCGCACATGTTTAAGCAATCTTCATCAAACCACGGTTTGTTATTCTTATTTTCCTTTTTTCCTAGACACGAGTTACCGACCGCTTTAATATTATCCCTGATCTCTACCCATAACTTGTCAATATCCTCGTGGTCCTCGTCAGGAAGCTCTAAAGCTTCAAACCTATTCTTAACATCTAGCTCGAATTGGTTTCTAATTGATGGATTTTTTAATTTTTCCAAATTAAAATTCTCAAAATCGAAACGGTTTTCTTTTCTCTTTTTTATATTAAGTTTTTGTCGAAGTTTCGCGATTACTAATTCATGATCCGACCCACATTCTGCTCCGCGATAAGACCGTACATTGATTATACTGCTTTGCCAGCTGTGTTGTATCAAGACATGATCGATTTGATTTCGTGTTTGCGAATCCGGTGATGTCCAAGTATATTTATGAATATCCTTATGTTTAAACGTCGTACTTTTAATTATCAGGTTTTTCGAGATGGCAAAGTTTATCAGACGGATCCCATTATCATTACTATATTCGTGCAAACTTTCTTTACCAATCGTCGGAATATAAACTTCTTCCCTTCCTACCTTTGCGTTCGCGTCACCTACAATCATTTTCATGTAGTTTCGCGGTAGTTTATCATAAACCCATTCGAGTTTATCGTAAAATTCACTTTTGACTTCATCGTCACTGTCTTCGGTCGGACAATGTATGTTTATTAATGCGATTTTAAACCAACGTCCCTGAAATGTAGCTACCGAAATTCTATCACTAAAGAATTGTACGTCCCTCAAAGCGGATAGTAATCTACTCCTAATTAGAAACCCGGTACCAAACAATGATTCCCGCTTCCTCCGTACCAAATAGTGTACTTTCCTTCCCTCATCGAGCCCTCCCTGGCCAGCGAACCTCTTGCAGAGCCACGACATCCAAATTGTACCCATTTACCTCATTCGCGACCGATTTTAGCCCCCTGCTGTGTTTAAATTCCTTACGTTCCACGTACCAATATTTAAATCCCTATATTTCAACTTGCGCCATGAATCCCCTAAAGCAGTCCCCATCCGGAGACCCGAACGGGGGACTAGTTTACCTCCGGATAGTGAGCGTTTTACCTTAGGGAGATCCATGACTATTTGTGGTGTTTGGTGAACTAAAGATATGTGAGTAGGGCGTTCAATCCTACGTCACACCCTCCAGCAAGTCTGGTGGGCCCCTACATCCAGCAAGTCTGGCGGTCCCCTCCCTCCATCATTCTTTTTACAAAAGAAAGGAAAAATCAAATTCAGAAATTACCACTCGATGTACCAATTCAAATCAATTTTAAATGAAATAATGTGGTGAAGGGATTTGTTAAGTAATCGTATATTTTCAAAATAATAGTAAACGTGAAGTGAAATTAAAGAAGGCAAAATGTAGGACCTTTATGTAGTTATATATAGTTGTAAGTACTGCAGATATAGGATGTAAATGCCTTATACGATAAGTCGTTTGCCATCGTTAGAAACCTTGGCAAGGATAGAAGTTTCGTAGAAATTTAATGAATGGTTCAGAGTTAGAGTGTTCAGAGATTTTTGAGACCATGGTAGTTACTGGACAAAATAGAAGTTACTGGATGATGTGGCTTTGTGGAGATTTTCGTTTTCGCCAATGTAAAAGGAATAACAGTTAGAGGTGAACCAAAAGATGCGGTATACGACAAGGGAGTTTTGCAAGAGAAGAGCGGATACTTTTAGAGAAGTGCAGAGGTTAGAAAGTGAATAGATTTGAAGGGATGTCGTAAGTTAGTGTTAGGCAACCTTAAAACTTTATAAATTAATGGTCCAGAAAGGAAGGGGACATAGGTATAAACAATATTTATTTAACTTATTTAACAATAAGTTTTGACTTAAATGAAAAATTAAGATTTTTTTAGATATTTTAGTTAAGCCCGTAAAGCAACATGAAATGTTCGTCGCTCGAACACGTTTCACATATCAATCGATTCAGCATAAACAAAGCTGTAAAAATCAATCATCAACTGTTACCTATCTCATATCTTTTATCTTTTACGGAATTTTGTTCCCAAAAAGATGCTTTCGGTTCACTGTGGGTCAGTGAGACTAGACAACTTGGACTGTCCTTGGAACTACTGGTAGGTGGCAATCCTGCTCCTGTTGGTGCAGAGTTTCGAAATCCTCAGCTAAGAAAATATGTGAAAATAATTTGAGATTTTGATGAGGTTGTGTAACTTGAACATGTGATTGTTTCAATAAATTAATTCATCCGTTTACCTAACGAGCTGCAGAGGTAATCGTGGAGTTAAAAATAATTGTGGAATAATGTGTTTTCTTCATAATAGAGTAGGAGCGTTTATATTTCCAATCTGTATGGCTATTACTCTTGCATTAATCGCCTTATTTATTCTATCATAGGGCCCAACCAAAATAATTTTATGGTTAGATTTAAGTAGATTTCTGTTTTGATACCACTTATTGAATCCTAATATAGATCATTAATAGAATAAAATTTAAAGCTGAAAATTTTGTTTTGTGAATTAATTCTGATTGTACAAAAGCCATTTATAACACTAAAATTTCCACAGAAGTATATCAAGATCTTGGTGCAAAGTCGATATACTTGGAAATTAATATCAGGTAATTTTGGAAAGATTGTCTATTACTTTTATTCTATATTATTATCTGTATTATTATTCGTAATTATAGTCCCGTATTATTATTGTTAATAATAATAATTATTGTATAGTCACTACAATAAATGCTTATAATTTTATCTATATTGGCTTAAAGACCTTGTAAATCTTTTTTACTTTTAACCAGCCTCTTGCATCTGTATCCACTCTGTATATGTTAAACAAGTAATGATACAAAAATGACATTTTACATAGGAAAAAGTTTTTTATTATAATATAATAGTGATTTAGTTAATAATGACTAGATAAGCTGCTCATTTTTATTTTCTTGAGTGCTTTTCTCTTGTACTTTTACTTCTTATTGTTATTGTTATCCTAATTCCATAAAAACCATAATTGTAATAGAGGAAATCTACTTTGTCAATTTTATTTTCAGATTACAAACAGTTCTTATTTGAGATATTTGAAGCAAAGTGTTATTGATGGTTTGTCAAATGCTATAATTGAATCTAACACTCTTTTCACTGAACTACCAGAGCAGGTTGAAAAGCAAAGTAAAACAGTCAGACAATGTAAGAACTGTATATTTATGGTGATATTATTAGGAGCGTACTACAACCAGGTAACCATAATTGAGCTGTTTCAAAAAAAGCATGAAGTAATATTTTTTAAGGATTTTGAGAGAATAAAAGAAATTGTGTAACTGATTATTTTACAAACATCTCTTAAATTTATGTTAATAAAATTTTCTATTCTAATTTATCCCACAACTAGATTAATGAGATTGCCAAGTTATTTACTGGATTTTTTGGATAGTCTAGCAGTAGACTATTAGAGCCTAGTAGTACTGTAATATCTTGTGGACCTAACCTACTGCTACCTTTCTGGAAATACCCATGTTTCGCAAAATTTATTGTTACCTAGTTGTAGTACTCACTCCACGATTATATATATATATATATATATAATTTTATTCATGAACTTTCTTTTTTTTTAGCGATTATGATTCAACTGAACCACCAACGGACAATTCTCTATAACTCAGCTACCTCTTTCAACAAGGCAAAGCAAAATGTTCATAGTGACTTAGAAGATATTGGAGTCAAAATACCTCCGGCTTTTCATTCAATTCAGTATATTGACTACTGGAGGTGGCTGATTGGACTTGGTTGTTAAATATAAATATGATAAAACAATATATGTTTTTAATAATACTGTTGTATTTAAGTTTATAATTTAAAAACTATTACATCAAACAAAACTATTAAATTAGTTAACTATTGGAAACTATTACAAAAAGTTAAACTAAAAAAAAATATTTCAATATAATTTATACTCCTTAGTCATAGATCATGTTCTCAGGTGTATTATAATTATGTAAAATTCCTACATCGTAGGAAGTGCGATATTTAGGACTCCACCAAGTCAATATAGATATGGAGAAATCACATGAGACTGAAAAGAAAACTGATTAAATGATTTGGAATATCATCCAAGTTACTTGGCACATTCATATAATTTAGGCCTTCCAATCAAGATTATAAAAAAAATAGTGGACAGATCATATGCATGACAAATAACTTTCTAAACAAGAACTCAGGCTTACAAACATTCAGGTACTGCCACAGAAACTACAAACACTTCACTAGTTAACCCATATATATCCTACTACTTCTTTCAAGACTGTAGTCAAGAGACTTACTAAATTAACCATTCTTTGGGAGAATGTAGATTTGCTTACTACAAAAATATTTTATAGGTGGAATTACACTAAAACAAAAAAAAATAAATAAATAAAATAACATTAATATAAAATAGATAACATTAAAAACTAAAATTTTTAAGTTATGGACCAATGAAAATAATATATTTTTCCATTTTGGGGGGCTTCATCTCGAAAGACTCCTCCCTCCTTCCTAGATCTGCCAGTGAGGAAATGTTTAACATATCAATTTGGGATAGTTTCTTTCAGACAAACATACCAAGAAATATATGTTTATGCTTCTTTGAAAAAAACATTTATTTTCAGTTTCAGCAATATCAGTCCTGTACATATGGTCTCTTCTGACTGGAGCTACTTGTTGTGGTTGCTGTGGAAGTGAAAAGAGTTCTTCTCCAACATTAATCGTGTAAGAAAAAAATGTTGATACAGTTTTAATATGATTCTATAAGTTTAATTATTAATAACTGTTTATGATTTGGTTTGATTTACAGAACAGTTATACTTGTTTCACTATTTTCTTTTTTTCTGTGGATCTTCATGATCACTATATTTATCATTGGAGGCCATGCAGAAGTGTTTATATGCCAGGCTCTTGAAAAGGAATCAGATCTTTCAACTTTTTCTAAAATAATTGATACTGGCGGTATATTGACTGAATCAGGTGGATCATACCTATCATCACTGCTATTGGGAAATGGTTCTATCTCAATGCCTTTTGGGAAAGTAATCCAGTTCGTACTGTTAATAAAACAAGTAAAATAATCTAGCCTTATTTGTCTGTATAAGTAATATATTTCCTGACCTGTTACTAGATATATTTAATAAGAAATGATTTAGAATGGTGTGGAGATGTTTGACCATGATGATTATAATTTGAGAGGGAATTGGTCGGGGGTGCAGTCAGATATAATACTCTATATTAAAATTATAAATAAAATAAATACTACTAAAAATAATAAAATACTATTTTAATATATAGTATTATATTAGTATTTGGAGGAGGAGTATGGCTTTAGACCCAACAGAAGTACACAAGATTTGTATTCACCCTAAGGCAAATATCGGAAAAGGCCATTGAAAAAGACAAAGAGATGTTTTCTTGTTTTGTAGACCTAACTAAGGCCTTCAATAGAATCAAGAATCGTGACTTAGATGAATCGTTATGTGAGAAGGAAATGGGTTTGAGGGAGGCAATTAGAAGTCTTTATAAAAAGAATAGGAATGTGGTCAGGACATGGAACATGGTATCCAATGAGTTCCGAACTATTCCGCTCGTTATTATAGTGGTTTTGGAAAGAGCCCTGAGAAAACCTAACAGGAAATGAGACCATTACATTTTAGTTACAGAAGATTGCCTCCTACTCAGTTCACTATGCTGGCCTATGCAGATGACTAGGTAGTCTTTGGCAACAACCAAAAGAATCTTCAGGTTAACCTTCAGGTCTTGAAGGTTCAACTAAGAGAAAATAAACATCATCATGAAAATAATAAGGAGATAAATGTGTCTAAAACACAAATTATGCAGTGTCATTAGACTGGATGAAACCCGGCTAGAACAGGTAAGTGGTTTCAAATACCTAGGAGCCCACTTTAACAAAAATGGCTGGGTGAATGGAGAGGTAAGAGTGAGGATTAAGGCAGCCATAAGCTGTTTTAATGGATTAGGAAAGGGTTTTGGGGAAAGAGATTCCCAAAACCACAAAAATAATACTTTTCTACCAATACTGACATACTCCAGCAAGTCTTGGACCTTAGCGAATAAACATATGTGCCAACTCCAAGGAATGGAGATACATTATCTCCGTAGGGTCGAAGATAAAAAAAGGAGAGACCAAGTGAGGAATATCACTATCCGATCCAACTTGGGTCTGCAAGATTCAAGAGAAGAAATAGAAGAACACCAGCTAAGGTGATTCGAACACGTCTCTCGAATATCAGAAGACAGAATAGTAAGGCTCACTTATGAGACACAGGTGGGAGGTAGAAGATCTTGAGAGCAGTCTAGGAAGACCTGGGAAAGCGGAATAAGGGAAACCTTTGACTGAAGAGGTGTAAATTTGATAAAAAGAAAACAATTGGTACAAGATAGAGACTTATAGATCAGGCTCTATAAGTGGAAGCCTTACACTATTTGGCAGTAGATGAGGATAGATTAAGAATGAAAGTATTATATTTAACCGCATCCACGACCAACTCCTCAAATAATTTAGACTGCAAAATTTATTATTATTACAATTAGATATATACACATGTCATAAATTTTAGCTAATCTAAATTTAGATAATAGATTTGTTTTTAAAACCACAATTTCCAAAGTATGATGTAAATCTAGAAGTTTTTTTATTACCTAATGCATTTTTCAACTAAATAAAGTTGCAATATTGCCTTCACTGCATCACATCCTCCTTTCACCACAGATCAAGTGTTAACTTTGTGGTGTGAATCACTATCTATATAAATAAAAATGTAAATGTTTGTTTGTTCAAAACTGCTAATCTCTAAAAGTTCTTCACCAATTGCCTTGAAATTTCAACACAATGTTGCAATCTAATTCAGAAATGTTTTGAAATATATCTCATTACTGCTCAGCCTTTCATTTCAAAATGAGTACTGAAAACAGATGACCTAATAAACCTCATAATGTCAGCCTTGTCATAAAGTTGGTATATTTTCCTACTCATCCTCCACCTCCAGTTCTAAATGCTCTGGCCCAAATATTCGTCAAAGGATCTTTCATTTGAATATAAGAATCTCCCTCTTATCATTACCAGTGAAAGTAAGAACAGCTCTCTGATCCATAAGTTAGGACAGCCCTAATAAATCTTGTACAGGAGACACATAGTATGGCAGGAGAGGTAGGGATTTCCCAGGTGCTTTCTGAGACCAAAATAACACCTGCTGGCTTTGATCAGTTGCTGACTGGTTTCCACAGAGATCCTTTTTCTATAATTTATCACTAATGCCAGGTACACAAATTGGTCGACATTCTGGAACGTGAATTGGTCCATCACCATGGCTCTCATATACTTTGTCCTCTCCTAGTTTACACACATCCACTGCTGCCTCCACCAACTTCAGAAAAGCTTTTAAGGACTCAAAGGACCTTGTGACAGTATTGAAGTCATCAGCAAAGCCAAGTACCTGAACATGCTAGTTGAAGATGGTGTCGGAGGTCTATATGTCTGAATCATTTGAGGTCTTCTCCAAGGCTAGGTTGATCTACAGGCAGGTGAGGCCATTGCCCTGTTTAACACCTCTGGTAGATACAAACTGTGGAGAGAGATCTGACTGAATCCTCAGAGTACACATTGTACCATCCATGGTCATCTTGATCAGTTGAACCAGTTTCAAAGGAACTCCAAGTTCTCTTAAAGCTGTGTATAACTTAGGCCTTTTAATGCTATCATAGTCCTGAGATTTCCTGAGTATCATCTGAAAACTGAACATTTTATCAACGTAGATCTCTCTCCTCTAAAACCCACCTGATATTTTCAAAAGTATCTCTCTGCAAATGGGAGAAGCTTCTTATAAATGACCTACCAGTTTTCATTCAGAAGACTGACGAAGTGAAGGGACTCTGAGCCAGCATTTCATCCTTTTCCGTGGTTCTATGGTTCCATGGTTCCATCCTCCTTCCTACATGTCCTTGTCAGGTCTATGGTTTTAAGCCGGTTCTATCCTGATCCTTTGATAAAAGATTGTTGACTCCCTTTGATTGCTGTATTCCTCCATTTCCTCTATGTCTTAAATATTTAGTACTTTTTCTTCTACAATGATGATTTTCATTTTTTGGGGTTTTTTTATGAATTGAAAATTTACATTTACTGAAGTAATCGAGATCATAATTGTATGAAGTGATATAAAAACTTCTCATGCAGGTCTATATCAATATTCACTTTTTACATCACATTTTTCCCAATTTGTAACAAAAGTAGTATGATATACTTCAAACATTTGATATGCAATTTTTGAAAAATAGTTAATTACTTAAATATGGCAAAAATGGGTATAGAACGAACATTGAAATCTTACCTAGATAATAACCTTTAGTCCCAAGCTCTCAACACACAAGAAGAATGGCTTGTATTTTGGACCTTCAGCTTTTGTATTTTAATCTTCTAATTATAAACTTTTAATTACAAAGAAATGTTTTATTTTTTGTAATTTTATAAATAAGCATGAAACAATTGTTCCATTTTTGTAAAAATACAAAAGCCTCAGGTGTAAATCTACTAATTTCAAACTTCCTGGAGTTTAAAAGTTTGCTGGATATTTTTTTTTTAAATGTTAAAACTTAACTATTTAATAAATGGATATTTATTTCTGAACAATGCAATTAGTCAGGAAACATTTAAAAAAAATGTTAATAACACTTTCAATGCTTATGATCAATTTATTGTTATTTATGAACAATTTGACATTACACATTAGCATTATTTCTTTTCGCAAATTTATATGACCCAATGAAATAATAAAGTACAAAAAAAAATTATAATTCAATAAATCAAATAAATTTTACAATATTTCATATTGTGTTACCATTTCTTAACCATGGAACAAACATTTATACCAATAAATTATAAGTAAATGCCAACTAGTGATTATAGGTATAATAATTGAAAAATTACTGTTCTTTGAATTTAGGAAATGTGAAAGAAATGAATCGGCTTATGGAGCACTAAATTTGAAAAATTTACTTGACATTGGCGACCTAACAAATATTACTAAATGGACAAACATAATGCAGCAGATGCAACAAATACAAGTTAATATACAAACCTTTGAAATCCTCACTCCAAGTTTGCATACCAAATTGACAGATTTAATGCAAGGTCTTAAAATTAATATTAGTGGATATAGAGCTCAGGTAATATTTTTCAAACACTTAATTAAATTGGCTATGTTGTATTATAATATATAAAGCTAAAAAGTTTGTTTAAATTGCTAATTTGAGAAACTACCAGTCTAATATCAGAAATTCTTTTTGTATAGAGATTGCTTATCTAGGAACTCTTTAGGCTTCATAACATCTCACTGATCTACAGGAACAGTAATCTTAAATGTCAATCAATCTCAAAAACTGTAAGCAATTAAAGCTTCACGTTACAGTACTGTTTTTAGTCACTAATAAAGTGCAGAAACAAACTTTTAAACATATTGGAGTCAACTTAATAGTCCGTGATACAGCTCCTTTTTATCAAATTATTAACTTCCATCTAAACTCTGTGAATAGAGTCATCTCATCGTAACCTACAACATTTTTATTTGTGATAATTATCATAATTGCAATCTTTTCAATCTGGAAATCGGCAAGCTTTGTCTATTTAATTAGTTACTAAAAATTCATGAACACTCATTTACTTTCCACTTCAATCATAAAATAATTTGATGATAAAATCGAGAATAAACATGGCCTACAAAAATATTGGGCCATTTGGCATTACCTCCACCCCCAATATGTCAAAATAACAAGATTATAGAGGTAAAACGGCCCAATAGTTTTGTAGGACACCTTTTTTTTTTTTTTTTTTAATCAAATTATCTAATGATTTAAGTGAAAAACATGTATTGGGTTGTCCAGAAAATACATTTGTATGAAAGTCAACTCTTATTAATCCTCTTCCAAAGGATAATGTTTGTTTACCTCTGTAGCATTTCGCTGCTTAGAAATACTTCATTCTTTACTAAGATGTCAACGCCTGGTTTTCGTATAATTTTATTTTACGAGTTTAAACTCGACCAGAATGAGGCCCAGCAGCATTAATGAATACACTGTTCAACGGTGGGTCAAAAAATTTCGGTAGGGAGACTTCAGCCTTGAAGACAAAGAAGGTCGTTGAAGGACTTCCTCTCTTGATAAACCCAGAACCCTGTTTGAGAACTTTCAGAGGAACTTAACCTTAGCAAATCAACCATCAATGACCACCTGAAAAGGTAAAAAAGCCTCAAAGTTAGGTTCCACATACATTAAATGACTACCAAAAAAACCAGTGTTATGAAGTTTGTGCTACACTTCTTTGCCGAAACAAAATTACCGTTTTCCAGAATTGTTACTTGTGGTGAAAATTGGATACTTTACGAAAACAGAAGACATTCTGGACTGTGGCTCGATAAAGGAGAAGCAGCAAAACATTTTCCAAAGCCCCAACTCATCAAAAAAAGTTATGGTTAATGTTTGGTAGGCTTCATTTGGTTGGATTCACTACAGCTTCTAAATTCCGGAGAAATTATCAATGCCAAATCGTATTGTAACCAAATTAATGCAATGCATCAGAAATTGGCAATAATGAAGTTATCTTTGGTCTCTCGGAAGGGACCCATTTTATTGCATGACAACGCAAAAAAGTTAATGGACAAAGGACTTTAAAAAATGCGTTTTTGGAGTTTATCAATTCTAAAAATGGGAAATTCTATTCAGAGACAATAGATAAATTGCCAACACATTGGGAGAAATTTATTGATAGTAGTGGAGATTATTTTGATTAAATAAAACAGTTGTAAATCTTTCTTTTTTAACCAAAATGCTGCATTATTTTTCAGACAACCAAATAGGTATTTATGAGTTATTAGTACCTAATTAAATTAATTAATTTAATGAGAAAAATAACCATTTCTAAGAAATTTTTTAGATAATGAAATTGTAGGTAACGTTAAGATGAAGCCATTGAGAAACCATTAGAAGGATGTTAATAATTTGATAAAAAGGAGTCTTTGCCATGGACTATAAGGGAAAACCATGTTTTCTACATGGGCAAATATATGTTCTCTAATCTAGATTAGTTTGCAGGAAAAAAATAATATATACAGAGAAAGAACTAAAGATATTCTTTATGCTGGTGTGTTGTATGTTTTCCTTTAACTGTTAAAAGAAAATACTTTTCATACACATGCTTTGTTAGCCATCAAACTGAAAACGTTTTCTCACAATTTAATTTTTTTTAATGATTAGTCCGTTTCTCCACATAATTTTCAGATATTATTCAGTTAAGCATATAAACTTGGTCATATACACATCATCTGTACGAAACAGGCATCTATAATCCAAATTTAATGTGGATGAAACCAAAAAAAAATTAATATCATTTATAGATATCATACTGCTTAGAAATGTTAAGGCGGTAGTAGGTTTACTGACTAACACATATTCGGCTATGATATATGCACTGCAGCGATACAGGAGCTTAGTTCTTTTGTTTTGTGGTGTCAGGGAGAGGCTGCTTTTCAGCATTGGTGTATTTCCCAAAAGTTGGCCAATGTAGCTGATATCCTGTTTCAGTCAATTTTTTATTTCAGGGATGAAATACGAAAGTGTGCCGATCTGTTGGGCATCGAAGAGAATAATATACAACCATCGCTTACAATAAAAGTAAGAGGGTCCCTGAAGAAAAAGTTCTTTGATGAGTGGAGAAAATTTAAATGGCAAGGAATTGGTGTGTCCCATTTTATATCTAACCCATGAGCCAATAAATTCATTTGCGATAGAAAAGTTCTCAGAATGGATGAATGCTATAAAATTGAACATCAACTACACTCCTCTCCGCGAAGTACAGAATGCCATACCAGGCTTATGGAGATGTCGGACCCCTCTGACACAAACTTGGCCGAGAGTCAGAAACCGCAACTCACGCAAATGTCCAAACAATTTGTTCCTTATAACAACCGGCACAATAATATAAAGAAACAGCTATCCGAACTCCTAGAAGTGAACAACTTGAACATATTTCCTCGAAGTTTATAGTCTAGATACAGAAGGATCTGTGAGGTTCGTTGTCATTTTAGCATTTATTGCAACAGAAAATGAAGCGCATATAGTGCTTCCCACAATGAGATCTGAAACAAACGTTCAAGATGAAGAAATTGGCGTGCAATCGGAGAATGAGGAAATTTATAAGAAATGTACTTAAAAGAAAAATATAAATTTTTTTTTTTTTACAATAAATAAGGCCGTTTATCACCAACATTTTATTGATATGCATTAATTTTGACATTTCGACCATACTAAGGGTCATTTTCAAATCTTGATGAGTCCTCCGTTATGTGTTCATCATTAATGTTGTAATTAATATGTTTAGTGAACATTAATTTGTCATGTTCTATAGGGGTTTCGCCTACGTCATTTCTGAAGGGACTAGTCCATAGACCAAATGACGTATGTGCTTTGGTAGTTAATTCAATAATGTGCTTTGTATCTAATCTAGAAGAACAATAAAATTGATGAACAGAGTATGTTCATTAACTATAAATAATTTTAGGTATCTGGTCCAGTTAGCAATGACTTGGAAACCTTTGCCAATCAGTTGACCAGTGCAGCTAACCAGATTGGTGATATAAACATTGCAGCCCAGCTGGAAACATTAGCTGAAAAATCCCGACGCATAATTACCACATACATAAAAGATCTCGAACAACATAAGGTAATGCATTTGTTTATATATTTAGAAAACAAATCTGATCAAAAAATTCAATTACTCAAACTTTTTTAGAGAGGTGTTTCAAAGTTTAATGACCTTGTCATTGTTTATAAGACATTTCGTTTAATTTGGGTTCTATTTTCCTCACAATGCATCTATTTTGAATTAATTCAATTTTTTTTTTTAATAAATATTAAGTTGGTTGAGATTCAAAAACATTAAAAAGTAAATAAAAATAAATAAATTAAAAAGTATATGTATATATATATATATATATATATATTTATATATATAGGTAAATGAAAGTAAAAAATAAAATGAAATTCTGTAATTTCACTTGTCATTTCTCAATTTGGTCAACTTTCCAAGAGAATGTTAAAAACTGTTATTTTTTTGTTTTCTTTTAAACAAGGAAAAAATATAAATATTTTTTAGTTTTATTTCTTAGCTTCAAGCATTACTTGTTAAACTATTATCCAAAATTATGTAAGAAATTTTCAATAATACGGAATGCTTATCACAATTTGTTAAAATATGAAATCCCTTTTGTTGTTTCTACATTGATGAAATGATAATCTGATTCATCTTTCCAGTGACAAAAATCTTTACAAATATTATTGTTTAAATTTTGAAAAACTTGTATTTTTTTAGGAGAACCTCATTTACCAACTAACTGCTTTAGAACTAAAAATTAATCCATTGTTGGTACAAGTGAACCAATCCTTGGCTCATATGAAAGCAATACAGTACTTCATTAAAAACCAAGGAGATCGAATAGCGCAAGAGGTTTGCAGAACATTGATCTATTAATATTAATAATATGATTGATTAAAAATGTTAATTTTACAGTATAAATAAACTTTAAACTTGAACTGTATGGGTGGTTTCCTAAATAGATGTTGTTAGGAAAAAGTCACCTAATTTTTACCACCCATTTACCACAAGAATTAACTCAATTATGAGTGGCACTCACTATCTTAACATGTACTGTAAGCTTCTTTCAAATGAATATATAATTTCGTGTTGTTTTGGCTCTTCTAAAAATAACATTTAAGAGTTCATTCATTAAGAGGAGTCTTTGTTCATTATAATAAACTTATTCTAATGCTTTTAAATCCAGTGGACAATATTTTCAAAAAGTCAGTTTATATATAAGTTCAAGAAAATGATTCTCTATTTCATTAAGTTTCCTAAATTTGATCATATGTCGATTTCTTGTTAAGAAAAAATATTGACATAGAATATAAAAATACGCTTTAACTTAAATGTTAAACAATTATTAACATTATATTGATACGTAATAATACTTTAAAATTGTAAGTAATAATTCTTTCCAGTTATTTTTTAGGTGAAATAAGAAATAAATATTGTCAATTATATTAAATGAATTCATATTATCTTAAAATAATGTTGCTATTGGAGGAGGGGGTTAAACTTAGGGACTGCATAGTGCTAACTCTGGTCCTATAAAATTCTGGTAACGGGATATTTTTTATTTTGCGGACATTCAATTATCATTTTTCATATGACAATGATTGAAGCCTAATTTTGTGCTTTCAATGGACCAGAGTTTAAAAACAAAAATCAAGCTTGATCAATGTTAATCTGAATAACAGGTTGGTTGTCTCGACAATCAACACTTTACTGTATTTAATTCTTTCTCACCATTGATAATAAAGGTAAAAGACTATGATATCTTATAAAGAAACAATTTTTATTAACATTATCTAAAAATTTAAATACATTTATCTCTTAAGATTATACTGAAACTAAGGTGAAAGTTGAATGTGTACTTTAAGATAATTAAAATGTCCAACAAATGTACATTTACTCTGATAATTTTTTTAATTAATATAATGGGTATTTTATTACTATTGTTTATATATTTAAATCTGCTAATTATCATGTAAGTTCCTAATTGATAATTTTTGTTGTTCTTTAATTTATAAAAAAAAAAAAAATCACGTTTTGTAGATGTCTATACAAAGTATAATAATAAAATCTTTATTTAAATTTATAATGCATGAAAGACAGAAGTAATTTTTAGGAAAATCATTAACAGTATTTAGTATACAAATATTAATGTTAATATTAATTAGACTTAACTTTTTAGAATTATAAGAATTTCAATATTATTACAGTATTTTTCAATATATTAGATATCAAAGTATTTCTTTGATATATAATTTGAACCACATAAATTGAATACTGGATCATTGAAGTTTTGTCAAAGAACAATTCTGGTTTGTAATTTTATAACTTTTTATAAGAATATAAGAGATTATTAATATACTTCATGGTTTTATACTAGGCACTGGACTTGTACACTTCAAGAATGCTTAATTATTTGGAGCAATACCATAAATTCGTCCAAGAAAATTTAAAAAATATCCCGTGTAAGTCATTATATGACCTCTACAACTACGTGAACATTGCAGTTTGTCGTCTTATCATTGATCCTCTGGTAATAAATATATAAAATATCTTTTTTAATATTATACTATTATGTTCATTAAAATCTCTATTTATTTTTAGAATGGGTTTTGGTTTTCCACATTGTGGTGCTTGATAATTTTTCTTATAGAAACACCAATTTGCTTAAAATTGATAGATTATTACAGCCAGGCAATAGAAGATTCTGATATGTAAGTATTACTAATGATATTTTTTAATAAAAGTAATTTATACCTTTTTTTTTAAATTCTCTTACTTATATTTGAAATATAAAGGGAAAGTATTGCGAACATGAAAATTCATCGGAAATGGACATTTTGAGTTTTCCTGAATCCAAATAGCCAAGTCTTACAAAATGGTCTCTGTTTGTGTCTATGTATGTGTTATATGAATAGTCTAGCTCAAAAATGAAAAGTTTTATATAACTGAAATCATGTATTTTTGACACATTTATGACTGAAATGTTATAATAACCTTTTCACTTAAATCAGCTTCGGCTAACTGGATATTTTTTTCTTTTTTTAAAAATCTTAAAGTTTCTTTTTATATTATCCGAAGTACTCTTGAAATCAAATAGCAATTCTCCTCCATTTATCTTTCCAATAGATTTTTAAATCATCGAAGACTACAACTGGTGCCGGCCTTAGTGTGGGGAAACTGGAGAAATTGCCCCACGTCGGGTGTCGACCTGGAAGGGGTCACTTGTTATAAAATAAATAAAATTAAAATTAGGTTAGTGATGAAAAATAAAATATTGAGCCAATGTATATCTCTTAACTCCATTTTGTTTAATTTTAAATTTAATAAATGAAAAAATAGGTGTTTAGAAAAAAATGTATAAAGTGATACAGATTTAGTTCCTATAATTTTTATCATATTTTACAATCCTCAATCATTTATAGATTAGAGATACCTTAGCACTTTTAAATCTGCCTTTGTATCTTGGAATCTGGAGTTAATTGGTTAAATAGACTGATGGGAGTATGAGGTTTTCATTGCCTATAATGATATACTTATTTCAAAAGCCCTTTCATTTAAACTTGAGGTTAAACTAAACATGTGTAATGCGGATTGGTTCCCTTCTTCTAAATGCTGTCTAGCCAGCTCAGTTTGAGCAGACATTTAATTGTAAGTAGATGTAGCGTGATGCATACAGCTCCAGTTTTTTAGTTGTTTTTTTTTACTCTTTTATCCTAAATATACAGTTGTAGATTGTTGTTGTAGATATTTCAGAGCCTTTCTAGACATTTTTGTAACATCCCACTAATTCTTAAGTAAGCTTATGTAAGAGTTCTTTATTTTAATAATTATTTAATTTTTTTTTCAATTCGTGATACTTTAATAGATGGCAATGATTGATGTTGTGAGTTTAATCAACAAATAAAAGGCACATTAATTTTATTTTTAGATTTTAAAAAATCAAAATAAAGGTTTTCAAAACAAGAAATTTGAGGAATTATGGGCAGAAAGCACCCTACATGCTTTAATCTTAAATCCTAAATAACTTTTCTGTAAATGTTTGCAATAGATTTTTCTACTAATTCTTTTTTTACTACTTAGAAAATAGAAGTATAATAAAACTGTACAGCTGCTCAACTATGTTGAGTTAATAAAAAATCCAGCATACTGGTGAGTCCTAATCAATATTATTTAATGACAGAGAACAAAAAGGACAAAGTTTTGCAGGACTATCATCCAAGGTACTGAATATTATAATCCATTTAGTAACATTTGAGGCGTGTCCCAGTGAAGTTATTTAGTTTAATCTATTGAAATACTAAAAATCAATTCGAGTGTTTATAAAATTTCCTAATAAAACATTTTGTGAAGACACTGATGGTTTGTTTTGTGAAAAAAAAAAAGTGGCCACGAGCTAATGATTTGTTGTAACACATCATAATTTAAAACCTTAAATTAGGAAAAAATAAATTTATCAGAATTTCATATCTTTTTGACTGTCTATAAAAAACAGTAAGTCTACTTGTAATGCAGATTTGGGTTGTGTTTTTGTGACAAACTAATTAATATACCTTTCTGTTAAATAATTAACATTAAAAAGAATTTAAAAATAAAGGAAGGAGATGGTCCAGGGTGGCAGTCATATATAGGCTAAATAATGGCAAAACTATTTTATTAAAAGCTAACGTTTCGACCCAACGTTGCAAGTCTTATTCAGGGCTAGAATGGACAAGATACAAAAACAGATATAGAGAATTGTGGAAGTTACAATTATATAGATATAGAGTTGTGGTGGAAGAACTTAAAAAAAAAAAATAGGCCAAAACTTTCTAATTTATTTACTTTTTTTCTTCATATTAAAAAAGTGACATTTCATAACCTCACATAATTAAGAAATTCAAAGAATTTTCCCTTTGTGAAATCCAACCATTTTGCGCTTTTTCTAACTAAATTTAATAAATAAAAGGATTTGTGTCATTTTCATGCAGTTATAGTGTTTTTGTATGGATAAATAAAGTTGAAATTTGCAAAAAGATATTTGAAAGTTAACCTATATCTAAAATGTCTAGATAGCTTTGGAAAAAAAAGTGGCCACGAGCAAATGATATGTTGTAACACATCATAATTTAAAAACTTAAATTAGGATAAAAAAAATGTTTTATTTTACATGTAAATCTACTTCCTAATCATAATTGTAGGGAATGATAGACTATATTTTATATATTAGATAGTCAAATTTGAATAAGATACTAAATTTCAGTCACAAACCAACATTTTTTTTTCTATTTATCACATAATTAGTCTCAATCTGGAACCGCCTAACTGTGAAATCTCAACATTTTAGAACAATAAAAAAAAATGTTTTTTAATTTAAATTTTCGTCATATTTAGATATGTTTTTTAAACATTAAATATTAGCCATCAGAATAGCCATCCTCTTTTACCCATCATGGGCAAAATCCTGAAAAAACTCATCTTAAAATGCCTGTATTCCATCGTAGATTCTGATCACATAATCCCTGATATTTGGATTCTGCACATCCCATTCCACTATCCAGCAATGCCATCATGTGCTAAACGTTAATTCCTCTGCATTGGATCACTGAATGTATTGCACTGGAGTCTTTCTTGACGTTGAACAAGTGTTTGATCTAGTCTAGCATCCAGGATTGCTTTACAAACTCCGCAAATTCCTTCCTCTTACATACTTTCTCATCATCCAATCCTATCTTACTGATAAACACTTCAAAGTGAATTACAATAATGCACCTGGACAAACATCTCACTTGGAATCCTCATACAAGACTGAAACAACAAGAAACTGCTCGAGGTTTTTACTTACCCCAACTCTTGCTTGGCAAACGTTCTAAGCTTCCAATTAATTACAAAAGATATATATGACTGTAATAAGGCCTATTTGGACTAACGGATTTGAGCTTTGGGGATCCACTAAACCATTGAATTCCGCTCATATCCAATTATTACAATCTAAAATCCTCAATGCTCCTTACTTTGTCACAAATAAAATAACCCATAAAGACCTTGAGATTCCATATGTTTCCGATTTGGCCCAATCCATTTACCTATCCTTCCATAATAAACTTCACAACCATCCAAATCTTCTCCTTTCTGGTCTTGGTTTCTCTCCAATCCCTGATAACCCTCAGAGGTTTCTAAAAAGAAGATGGCCTCAAGATCTCCTAATTTAGAAATTTTATTAGAGTGCTACCAATGGGTAGCCCCTCTACAAGTGTTCTAATGTCATTATATTTCTATGTATCATAATTACTAGATTTATATTTGTTTTTTTACTGTTGTAAACATCATTAACAAAATAATAAAAATATATATATATTAAAAATTAGAATTTTATATACTATGAAGTAAAAGAAAAAAAAACCTCTGTATGTAAAATTTAGATAAAGAAAAGAATAAAATAATCCAAAATCAAAACATTTATAATTATGAAGTTACATACTCAGGCCAACAATTTAACTAATTAGTTTCTTCAAAAGTTTTAACTTTATTAAAAACCAATTCATTAACAGTTATTACTTTTACCATATATTAAGAAGTGATTACATTTTTTAATAATGATAAATGTCTTTTTGCAGGAGTACATCCCAATCATATACAAACGGAAGTGAAAATGGTGAATGGATGCCTGAGTATGTATTTATTTTTAGAACATTATTAAATACTTTTATATATTTTTAAAACAAATATATTTTTTTATTTTATATCAGGGCAAGAGAAAGAGGTGGCTGGTAAATTGATGAGGAATGCTTGAAACTCTTGAACAAGATTAAAGCACATTAAATTCTGTTATGCTCCTTAAGCACAATGTATCGATTAAGGACAATTTTTAATTGTTATGAAGACTGAACTGGAAGTTAATTCATAGACATGTATTGTACTGACATTGAGTACCTGCTTCCAGGAACATTTTCCCTCTACTGCCCTGTTATTACTGTTGTAATAATACTAAATGTAAGATCAGAAAAAGTTAAAATTATTTATTACATTGATAAATAAATCAGCCAGTACTTATTTAATAATTATTTTAAATTTATGACCAATAAGAGATTTACTAAGTTACTTTCATCAACATTTATTGATTAATTTGTAACAATAAAAATCTAATGTTTACCTCTGTAGATATTGTTTTCTTAAGAAATAAAAGTTTTCATTTTTTTTTTTATATTATTGATTACCCCCAGATTATTTTCTTCCATTTATTTGAGTTTTCAACAGTCCTTATTCGCAGATTCTCTGAAAGACCTCTTAAACCTTCCTGCAATAGGCATATTTAACCATTGATCGCAGGAGGTGGATGAGAGGTTTTGCTCCTGCTAAGATCTGCACCATTTCATGCAATATTGAACTATATGCTCTGGTAACGTGAAGCAGAGGTGTCCTGTGATTTGATTTTTCTAAGTGTGAGATTAGGTATCAGTTGGGACAGGGTGGTGGTCACTCCTTTTGGAACTCCTTACCTTACTTTGCAACTCCTTAATATGCAAACCATGTCCACAAATTCCTTCAAACCAGTCCTATTCCACCACCCACTACACATTCAAACTTCCATCAGCTTATAAGGATTTTTAGGCTATGTAAATATAATTGCTTACAACAGGTAAATGATAAGAGCCCCTTTATTTTTATATTTATTTTTCTCTCTATATTTTTTGTATATATCTGTGTCTTCACTTGGAATTTTTTGTTTATATCTGTTTCATATCCACATGCTAGTCTGAAGTATATATTTTCTGAACTCTGTTGTGATTATAAGGGGACTTTAGTCCCAGAATAAAATTAATTTTTCATTTCATTTCATGTCCTAGGATTTTATGATTCAATCTCCCCTCAATTTTCAGGTGATATTCTTATCACATTTTCTGTGGCAAACTAGTCGGACTGTGAGAATAAAGACTCCCAATTTTTTTATTTTGGTCTATCTCCCCACTCCAATCAAAATGGAAAGTCTGCACCTATGCCGAGAACACTTTCATACATGACGTTCCACAGTAGAGATCCCAACACCTAGTTCTATTCTCCATTCTCTCTTGCACATGCCAATGTCCTCTCCTTAAAGTAATCACAGATTATCCTCCTGAGGAACAAAAGGACGCCTATTGTTGGTAGACACCAAGATACAGCTACATTTTTTATTGTAAAGGTGCTCTTCACATTCAGGAAGATGAATATGCAGAAACACTTCATGCCTTTCTTTTATATCTTTCCTCCTATAGCTTTCCCAGCCGTTTCTACTGCCAATATAATTGCATTCCCCATTGTACAAAAACCCAAATAGTTTCTTAAGAGGCCTCCTATATCTTAATTATTCTCTTGTGGCCTCTTTCCTAGTATTTTTTCCAAAGCCTTGTCAGTATTAACCCACAGACACATCAGTTTATAGGCCAAAGAGTCTGATGTGTCTTTGATTCCACATGCAAAAGGAGCTAAAAAGATCCAGGAATAAATTAGATCTAGTCTCCAATCCCGCTGTTTTTCCCATCATAAGTCTGATCCAGATATTTCTGATTTTCTCAACTGAGACTATTATTAACGGCCTTATTTGCATTAGTACTATTAGTTCCGTAAATAGGGTGGCAATATTATTTACAGTCACTGGGGACAGATGCAATTGCATAATTTCAATGCTTCAATTATAATTGCACCATAATGCACTGCTTTTCAGCTATTTTATGATGCTTCTATATGGCCTTCCTCTAGGACCCTCATACACTTCTCAGATTTCCATCCACCATCACTATTTGTTCCTCTTGATTGCCTGGTGGATCTCCTAATTCTTGGATTTTTTCCTGAAGTGTTAGGAGCAGATAAAAAGAAACTTCTATCCTTCTTTGTTATGCTTGTTGCTAGACATATGCTTCAACCACAATTGTGTTTTCTCCCCTAACAGTGGAAAAGGGACAGATAGGGCTCTTGTTATTGTTGGTGGCTAGATGGATCTCATCGCCACATTTACGACAATGCTTTGTTCTATCAGGTCTGTGATAGTATTTGGTGAGGTGACCTAACTCCTAATGTTGATTACAGGTGAATAAAATTAATTAAAATTTAAATAAATTTAATGAAAATTGGCAAAACTTTAAAATGTTTGGTTATATTTGATACTAGTTTTACATTGATTTCTGATTAAGAAAAAAGTATTATTTTCACATGGTTTACTTAATTTAGTTTTCAAGAGAAAATATTACTATTTATTAAGGATGGTGATGGGTAAATAGAAATATGTTTCAATAACTTAAACTAAGTAGAGTCAGTTTAGTAAATTGCCCACAAAATATTGCAGGTTATATTTTGGATATGACAATGCCTAAGCCTAACCCACTGGTGCAGTCACACCTGGATTAGATAACTTCTTGCCGACTATCCACTTAGGGTGTCATAAAGATAAACTCGACCAAAAATCAAAAAGAGCCTAGCAAACAAAGAGCAAGGGGAAATCCTGCCATGTAATAATAATTTTACCAATCATAGAAAGCATGGAAAACAATTAAGTGGCAAAAAATTTTGGATGAAACAGAGTTGGTGTGGAGAGCTCTTTGGAGTAGAGCATTGAGTCTGTAAGAGTCGGTTGGAGAAGTCGGTTGAGTAAGAAAAGAGTCCTTTGGAGAAATGTACCCAATGGAGAGGTCAGTAGCTCGTAAGAAAAGTTGGAAGATGTGCCTAGCAAGGAAGGAAGAACTGGATCGATGGAAAGACAGAGGAGACAGTCGAGAAGGTAGACTCTAAGATAAGTTTGAGGGTGGGTAGAGGGAGAGAGATATGCGCAATAGCAAAACATTTCGCCGCCTATCCCCTACTCTTTTGTATTCTCCCCCTCATTCATATATACTTTTAAATTTTTGTTTACTAGTAGAACTTTCTTTTATCATTTTTTTCAATTTCTTTTCCTATTTTCTACTTTGATTCATTAATTCACAGAAAGATTGGCTGTTTACAAACTGTGATTAGAGCTAATACCGTACAGTCTAAAATTATAAATAATGTGGACAATTCTCCTTGTTTACATTCAGAAGTAAAAGAAAAAGGCTCCTCCCCATTATTGAATATCCGATAACGTAGTATCAGATTCTTTTCTGTTTTATATTTTCCATCTATTTCTTGATTTGTTTAACATCTATTTCTCATCAAATTTAGACCTACAGATCCAAGTAATAACACCGAGTTCTGTGAAAAGTAGACCTCGTGAATTCATATATATATATATATTTTTCTCAATTTGATTATTAAACCATCCTTTTCATTGTTTTATTTTATTTTTTAATTAAAACCCCTGCATTTAATAAACATTTGTGTGAAATTTGGAGAAAATGGAATAACCCTTTCCCAGTATAAGGTGGTTGCTATAGTGAAGAGTTGAAGTGGAGCTGGAGAGAGGTCTTGGGGAGGTGGAACTTGAGAAGGGGAAAACTGCATGAGAGTACTTCCCCTGCACTCAAACTTAACTTAGATACACTATACAGCGAGATGACATTACCTGCACCAGGGACAAAGTAGGCAGTAGGCAGCGGTTCCGCCATATTCATAAAAACTAAATTCCAATTTTTTTTGTTTTTAGTTCTGTAGGTACATAAGTGTAAGAAGTTTTAGACTTTACATAGACATAATGTCTAATTACATTATGACAGTTTTTTATTGCATATTATATGCCTTTTTTTTTTGTTGGTTTTTACTCCATTAAAATTATGGCCCTTCAGAAGATCTGGGTGAACGAGAAATTACCTGAAGAATGGAAAGAATCTATTCTTATTCCGATTCACAAAAAGGGTCCGAGGACGGATTGTAATAACTATCGAGGAATTTCACTCCTTCCGGTATGTTATAAAATATTCACTTCAATCTTAACCAGTCGAATCACGGAATACGCCGAGGAAATTATCGGGGACTACCAATGCGCATTTAGACGTAATCGTTCGACAATTGATCAAATATTTTCTTTACGGCAAATATTAGAGAAAAAATTGGAGTATAACGGTATTGTTCACCAGCATAGATTTTAAAAAGGCGTACGATTCTATTGACCGCCAAAAACTGTATAATATTCTAATCGAACAGGGGATTCCAAAAAAATTAGTAAATATTTAATTAGTAATCTAGTCAGGATGTGCTTGACGGAGACACTTAATAAAGTTAGAATCGGTAATAATTTGTCCGAAAAATTTGAGGTTCGTTCGGGTTTAAAACAGGGGGAGGGATTCTCTTTCGCCTGTCCTGTTCAATTTGGCATTAGAACATGCTATTAGGGAGGTAATGCGTACCGAGAAAGGGTTGGATCTGGGCGGGACAACATCCGTGCTGGGCTATGCTGATGATCTGGTACTGTTAAGCGAAGACGTTGAAACTATAAAACTAAATACGACAACGTTAATGAAAGCCGGTAAAGAACTAGGACTCGAAATAAACGTGGATAAAACAAAATATATGGTTAGCTGCAAAAATGGCGATACTACTGGTGATATCGATATAGATGGTAATATGTTTGAACAGGTAGAGAAATTTAGGTATCTAGGTTCTACGATAACTAGAAAAAACGAAATTGAAGAAGAGATTAAGGTTAGACCGAAAGCGGGAAATGCTTGTTATTTTTCTGTGACAAAACTACTCAGTTCGCGCCTCTTGTCCCGGAACTTAAAAATTAGAATCTATAAAACAATTATCTTGCCTACAGTTCTTTATGGATGCGAAACTTGGCCGCTTACATTAAGGGATGAGCAGCGTCTTAAGGTTTTTGAAAATAAAGTATTGCGAAGAATATTCGGACCGAAGAAGGATGAGTTAACCGGAGAGTTCAGACGGTTACACAACGCCGAATTGCGTGAGCTGTATCCGGGTAATATAATTGAGGTAATTTCATCACGGCGAATCAAATGGGCTTGTAAAGTTGTTGGGCTTAGTAACGAGAGAATTCCTAAAAGGTTAATATGTGTGGTGCATGGTAAGCATCCGAGGGGTAGACCGAAGCGAAGGTGGGAAGATTGCATTAAAGCCAATCTGAAGGGACTGGGTTTGGATGGCGAATGGTGGAGGGAGGTGTGTAATAAGCGATTGGTGGTGTCGGCATC